CGCCAGCAGACAGGCACAGGCCAACGTGGAGAAAAGGTTTTTAATACACTCGCAAAGAATAACTACTGGTGGACAAAAGAGCGCTTGTATTTTTATTCTTTCCTTTTCCTGCTTCCAGGAAACTTTAAATAGATTGATTAGGGGCATGTATGGGATCTCTCTCTAATGAGCTAGTAGAGCCATTTAATGGCGAGGTGATGCCAGCCTTGGATTCTTTTATAATTCTTGTGTCTCGCTGAATACCAGAGTAGTCATGGTCTTGAGTCTGGGACAGGACTTGAGAGGCATACAGTTTTCCAGTTGCTCATCGAGAGGGTGCAGGATGGGATCACTCCTCGGTGAAGCACCAGGTGGAGAGCCGAGCAATCTAAGTAAGGCTGCCCATCGCTCTCGGGAGGCAAACCAGCAAGGTGGCTGGTGCCTCAAGTGCAAATATTCCCAGCCAAGCAAGAGCTATAGGATTTGCTTCAGTAATTACCTCTACTTTAGTCTTATGACCCAACATGAGGGAAAATGACTCTTGGCCAAATTACAAGTTGCTGAGAGGTCTAGGGCATTCGGGCATGTGTCCTCTACCTGTTGGAGTATGTTACAAGCAGGTGGGTGGCTTTTGTTCTGTCTTTTACATATTTTCTAAAGGACTGCAGCTATCAATTGATGCGGGAGTAGGAATGGGTTTCTTATTTTTTAATACTAAGCAAAGACAATCCTGCCACTGGGACCAGCAGAGAGTGCTATGCATGCTGGAGATAGCACGCGATTGAAGGGGATATTCACTCTTTTCTGACCGTTGGGGCAAAATCCTCTCTTCTTTTATACACAGGCACATTTCAGACCGCCATTCATATACCTCAGCCTCTGATAATTAGGGAACCTAAATATTTGGCTCATGGTAACAATTTTATGTCTTCTAACAAGGGGAACAGCGTTCCCCTAGGTCCCACTCTCTTTGAGCCGTGCTGCTATGACAGTAATGCGATTGTCACTGCCATGGTATGCTTAACCTTTGCCAAACCAGAGCTGAGGCATTAACTCAGATCCTCAACTCACATGTCTTAAAGGGCAACATAACCTGTGCTGCCTCCGCACTGCCAGACCAACACATTTTGCAGCTCAGTAATAATAAGCACGTAAATGTGACAAGCGTAAGCCCTAACAATGATTGATGCAAACAGAAAAATAACAAAGAGAAGCTGAAAAATAGCGATGCGGTGGAATTCTTAGGACCAGTGTCTCCATGGCACCAGCAGCCTGATACTCTGACACCAAAAGAAAGGCTACGCTCATTTATGGTAGAAAGGATCTCCATGCCACGCAACAAAATTCCAGCAAACAGGACAAGGACTGATGGTGTCTGGAAGTGGTAGTGCCACTGCTACCCAGATAATAGTCTGAATTAGATTATGTGAAAAAAGAAGGAATATATAGACGGCCAGCTGCTCAAAGGCTTACTACAACCTTGCTTTTATTGTTCTGCTAAGTTAGAGGTGGGGCATCAGAGGGATTCCTAACATACCACTACAGAGAAATTTTAATATGTTCCACACTGACACATATAAAAAGGAAATAACAGCTGATCATAGTCAGCCAAGGCTGCAGCATCTCTTCATATGCATGCACAGAAGCATGGGCAAAGTGGGGTGTTCTTGGCCAAGAAGACTCAGGCACCCGAACTAACCTGACACCGGCTGAACCTTTCTCCTGCCATTGAGCTGAATTTCAGCAAAAAGGGCTGTTGAGCGGGAAGCAAGACAGCAGAAAAAAAAGGTGATCTGGGCATGGCTACTCACCCCATCCCGAGATACCAGGACATGGAGAAGGGCAGGGGAGCTGAGAGGCTGCACATTTAACACTGATGAAAAGAAACACATGTTTACACAACCGGCAATGATCCGGTGGAACAAGATATCACAGAGGGCAGAAGTTTAGCTGGGCTCAGCAAAAGGACTCGTTATGTATGGGAGGGTTGCAGTGGTAAGGGTTTTATTTTTAAAGAGTTTTTGGAAGGGTTGAAAACTCTCAGAACTCTGAGAATTCAGCTGATGGGGTTAGGGAAAAATCCTTCACCACAGCAAGTTACCCCATAGCTGCCTGCCACAGGGTCTCTATGTCTGTCTTTGATGTGTCCGCTTCCAGCCATGCTCAAGAGGTGGATTACTCAAATAACATGGGGCTGTGGCAGGGTCTTATGTAGCAAAACTTTTCTAAAACTCATAGAGACAAGTGTCTCCTCATGCTCAGCAGGATATTAGAGGCAGATGAATTAGTAGCATTTGTAATATAACCACCTAATATTTATAATTGTAATTACAATGGTAGCACTTGGGGAAAAAAGGGGAGGTTTTTTCCTTCTGCTTCCAGTTAAACAAATAATCTGCCAGACATGTTGCAAAAACAAGTATCTCAGTGGCTTCATGAAAGCTTTACACCCCAGAGAGTCAACTCCCTTCAAGGTCCAAGAACAACCTTGAGCACTTCCTAGTGTATCTGAGAGCAGATAAGCCAGGAAGAGGACACAGTTGTCCCCAGGGAAAACAGGGAATTAAGCTGACTCTGGAATGAAGCTGACTCCAGGAGGACTCCCTGTCAAATGAGTCACCACAGGCATCGATGTTGTCCCCCAAGGAGATGGCTCGCTTCCCTCCCACCTGAGCAAAAGAGATTGCAATCCGGGCAACTCAAGCAAGGAAGAACACACAGGTGCTTTCACAAGCTTCGATGGCACATGAGGGATTGTTCTGGTGGGGCAGATGGCTTTTGTGGAGATCAGCCGTGCATAGGTAGCTACCTGGAGTATTGCTAATACAAACTGTACACAAGACTGTCCGTAACAAGTACCCTGCTCTGCAAGGGGGAACCATCAGCATGCATGCATTTGATCAAAACCAGGTGCTGTGCAAGCCCAGGAAACCTTCATGGGACACCTTCAGGTAGAGATCTGGGCTTGTAACTAGAGTAATCAGCAGCAGCCCCTAATTATACCCCTTCACTAAATCAAATCACATTTTATGTTGTAAGTTTGAAACATCTATTCCTTCCACATTTGCTTTTAACTGGAAAATCTTAAAGCATCTTCTTATAATACCAGTATTGAAAATAAGGTTTCATTATTCCAGCAAGACCATGTCAATGTATATATAAGTCACATTGGGAACTCCTGATTCAAGCTGGTAAGTAATTACTCACCAAATAGTTCTATTTAGGTCAAGGGAATTATTCATGTGTATAACTGCTCACAGATATGAGTAAGGTCTCACAGCCTCAAAAATTGAGCACCATTAGTAATTCAAGAGAAAAAAGAAAAATAGAGGTCCTAAAATGAAGAGGAGGGACAAATAACAACACTGTGACTATTACATCCGCATTTATTGAACCCACCAGGCAGCTGGGTTGCTTCTTTTAGAAAATAACTTTGCAATAAGGAACTGATTTGAAGTAAATTTATCTCCACTGTTGGTTTTAAAAAATCATTTTCCTGTCCTTTTCCAACATGCAGAGTTCTCACCTCTCAGCCACTGGGACAGTTACAAAGCTTTAGGAACTGTTAGTAACATTTAGCATATAAGAAACGTTTTTTCATCTTTAAAGAGCTGCAGAAACCTTAATGAGTTACTTGTCATGCCATCTGTCCCAGGCAGAAACAAATAAGGTGTGTTATGGGGAGGCTATGGGAGAAATTTAAATGAACTTGAGGGGTAGGATAAAAAGCTGCCTGACAGTCCCACAAAAGTCAGTCCACACACACCGTCTTGCAAATTCAGCTTTGCCACAAGAAAATTACCCCCCCAACACACATTCTGTGTCACCCTGCTTTACTGACCCTACAGCAGTAGTACTGAGATTGCCAGGCACACGGTTCATCTTTCTTACTCTCTTTTTTGCTACTGGACCCATTAATTTGAACTTTTATAGGATGAACTCACTCACCTGAATTCTAGCAGGGAGACGGGGCTTTCTTCCTCAGCCGGGGTCTCTCAGGGCAGTGTCCGTTCCCGCACCTCGCAGTTACACTACACTGACACTTTATCACTGGGCTCATACAGTGAAACTCTTCTTTTGTCCCAAAGACACAGAGAGCAGTTATGCTCGTGCCTCTGACGCTGATACGCAGTGAAATGATCTGCCAGGAAATGAGGAGAGCCTCCCTCTCTCCTTCAGCAGGCGGTCTGGGGTCCTGCAGCATCCTCCCGTGTCAGCTACCGACTGCACAGCCACACTGCATTACGTGTCGCGCTGACGGGGTCGACTACCTACTAAATATACCCCTCGGCACTACAGCAAAGGCAAACACCATGGCTTTCCTCAGAGGTTTCAGCCAATCAAGAGTGCATATTAAATCTGCTCTAATCCATAACCAGTGCTGTCCGGTCCATCGTAAAGCTTCCCAGAAGTTCGGATAAATAATAATGTGCAAATTAAGAGCGCTCCTGCGAAGCATGACACACAAAGCTAGAAATAAATATTGCCTGTTGTTTCAAATTATTCTAAGCACTCCGGCAGATGACTGGCAAGCGAACAGCATGCATAAATAGTGATAAAAGTAAACAGTCCAGCTTTAAACTAGCAGGCTTGCCTGTGTTCATAGAGCCCTATTGTAATGGGACAAAGAGGGTGCTGGCAATACCGGCGCTCTCTCGATGAATTCAGGGCAGAGTCCAGCACGTCCATTCACTCCAAATCCATAGAGCTAGGACCAGCGCAGAGCCGCAGACATGAGCCCGGCACACTCACCAGAATAGATGTTTAACCAAGTTGCTCTGAAGTAGACTGGGCTAGCTATTTGGCTACCTACAGGCATCCTTCAGATAGGAGATACAGTTAAAAATACAAGGATAAGAAGGAGACACGGGTACTAGAGCTGTGCTGATTCCAGAGCAACACATTTTAATTTAAAAAATGATACAAGAGGAACATGTGTTTGTCAGATAAAGAGATTAAGCACTCAGTTTAAGCCCATGTAATACTCAAAATCTGTAGGAATCTCATATTTGTGTGCTTACCTTTAAAAGTGCACCGCTCCTTCCTCCCCTCAAACTCTTTGGAGAGCTAAAAAGAGGTCCTGTTACTTCCAAATGCTTTTGTTCTTCTGTCCCTCTGTCACATGGCTTGCCTTTTATATTTGCAACACACAAAAGTTAGGGCTGTTGTTTAAGAGAGAGAGGGAGAGGGAGAGAGAGAGAGGGAATGTCAAATGGAAAAGTGCCATTGCAGTCATATATCAATCAGGGCAGCGGCAGCAGCAGCTCGCTGGCAAATGGGAATTCCACAGAAATGTGAAGCTCTTGTTATCTGAGAAATCACAAAACACCACCAGCCAAGCTCCCCTCTGCAGGGACTTCTTATTATTGGCAAGCCAGGAAATAGAAGGAAATGTAGGCGCTTTTTTTTGTTGTTGTTATTGTTTCAGATCTGGAGATACATACACTGTGGCATATGTAAGCCAGTGCAATAGAAATCCTGAATCAAATTCCTTCCTAAACAAATGCACTGTGTGCAAGATAAAGCAAACCACTGAGAAGCAAGGTAACAGAACTAAGTGAAGAATCCAAAAGTAATGATTTAAAAAGTTTGATATCTGTTTGTACTTGGAAAATATCCACAGAAAAACTACCTTTTCCCTGGGATGATCATTAATCTCCTTTTTCCTGACAGGTTTTTCTTAGAATTTTTTTCAGCTGTGATTGATCTCAGATATCCTTAATTCAGGCTGTGCTGCTTCACTACAATTGGTCAGCTATGTCATCTGACATTCCCTGGCTCTCCAGTTGGGTAAGCAGACAAGCATTTTCTGTATAAATACTTGTCAGCAAATCTGCAATTCCAATGCTTCAGATAACCTGCTCTGAAATTCTGAAGTTTTTCTTAAATAAACCCAGAAGTTTGCTCACAGAAGCAGAGCTATGTAATGTTACAAACAGCTTTCTGCTTTACCCACCTTCCTCTGAAGAATGCCAGGCTTGAAAACAGTTATCCTTCAAAGCTTTTATATAAATTTTGCATCCTTTATGCAAAAATTAATTCCCTGAGGGTCTGAAGGCAGACTCCATCCACTGGAAAACGCCATTTACAACAAGCACATCGCAGCTCTGGATGCACCAAATCCTTTTCTGCTCTTCCATGGAGGAGCATGTTTCACTTCCCTTTGGAGTGCCCCCTAGTCGTCCTGTGGCGTTAAGGGAAGCACAGACCTTATCCGGTTAATTAAAAAATAGGCGACATAGCTGGCCATTCACAAGCTGGATCTGTTCAGAGGCACTGGCCAGCAGATGGACGGGGTCCTGTGTCGATTGTGTTTGAACTCTAAAGGAAAGTTGGTATTTGATGGATGACATTATTAGCTAAATGTCTTATGTGGTATAAGATCAAAGAACAGATGGAAATTATGCCTTAAAAATAGAATAATCTAAAAGGGGAATGGCTTGTAGATGAGTAAGCATCATGGAAACAATAAAGGAGACATTCTTTGGCTTGCTTTGCTGCAGAGCCAGGTTTGGCTGGTGGGATAAACAAATGATCCGCTTAGGACCGAGATTCTCAGGATGTGAGTTTTGCTGCACATTTTTCCCCTCATATTCAGTGTTTACATTGTTTTGCCTCTTAAGTCAACCACGGGTTTCTCTCACCAACCATAAGTGTACCAGCTCTCTGCCTCCCGCACAGACACTTTCGCAGTCACCCAGGGTGGATGATGACAGAGCTCACCAGCATCTTTGCCTCACTGTAACTGTGGGCTGAAATGTCACTGATGCTCTGGTGCAACAGTTACCTTAAACAGACAGACTGCACGTAGCAGTGTTTTTTAATTTAGCCGACACCCTCTTTTAAAATTAAGGCTGTTGGCCCTTTGGTCATAACGCTGTTGGGTTATCTCTCTTTTTCCACAGGCAAGAACGTGGCTCACCTACTCCAGTTGCTTGCACTAAGGACCTGCCATGTACAAGACAAAGGTCTGGCTAAGTAGCTCCTGGATTAAATCCTTCAGGAGAGGGTACATATCCTATTCGTGGTCCTTACTAAAAATGATGCTTAATTTTTTTACTGATGCAGCTTAGGTTTCTTATATTTGCATCATCTACAGGTGACGATATCTGTATTAATTGCTTGTTGGGTGCTAAGCATACGTTAAATACTCAACAATTATCAATAATAGCTCAAACAGTAGTCTTTTTGAGAATTAGTGCTCAGCAGTTTGCTACCACAGCTACAAATTCATAATTCAGGAAAATCTGCAGATATTGGAGTAAAAATTTTTCAAAAATTAAAAGTGGCTTTCAATTTTTTATCTTCAGCTTCAAGACCATGTTTGGCACTAAGTGGGAGTTAATTGGCAGTTAATTGACCTCACAGGCTGGTGACTTATAAACTGACGTTCTCATTTGTGGCCTTCTGAATCAACTTACATATGATCACAAGCACAAATGTAGAAGCATCAAATGTAGCCTCCCCCCACCTCAAGAACACTATGGCCCATAACTTTTTCATAGCTGTTCATAAATCTTCAGCCTCTCTCAACCACTGTTACTTAATCCCACCCATAAAACCAGTCATTTTAAAGAAACAAATAAAAACGGAAAGCACAGGAGCTCAGAGCTCAGCTTTCAAAGATGATTAGACATCTGAGGTGACCCCAGATATTAGATAAGATTTCCAGAAGATCTCAGGTATCCTGCTCCCATCAGAGCTGA